TTAAAATTAAAAAAAGGCTGTCAAATTTACATGCCGTAAAATAGACAGAAACTAGGGAATTAATTTGGTCAATTTTGGCTGTAGAATCTGAGCCGTTTTACCCCCGAAAATCAGGGTAAATATGTTAGCTTTAAAAAAATATACACAGCGTCAAATAAAAGGGAATTTTATAGGATCAACCTTACACTGGCACAAAGATATATTTACGTAATAGCCTGTCACATATTAAATAGGAATAGCTTAGACAAACACCATCATGTTATATATCAAATTAAAGCTATATTGGTGTAGCGTAACAAGTATTACGTTGGATATTACATCGTATAATCCATTACTTATTGATACTATGAATTCATTAACTTTATTATACGTTATTCAAAATCATCAAATGGCTTTTTCTGGGCAAATCCTGTCTATGATAAAATGAATTAGTCATGACATATTCATTTATTTGAAAATAAGTCTTTTATGCTTTCTCAATATTTTATTTATTTATTTATTTATTTATTTATTTATTTATTTATTTATTTATTTATTTATTTATTTATTTATTTATTTATTTATTTATTTATTTATTTATTTATTTATTTATTTATTTATTTATTTATTTATTTATTTATTTAAGGTTGGAACCACATCCAACAGACACGAATATTGTCAAATAATTGTCGAAGTATTAGAATGATACAATGGGCAACATTGTTTGATAATTCTCTGATAATTATCCGATAACATTATGCAAGATCCCGCCTTCACGGACTTTCGAGCATCATGGCCGGACTACACTACAGTTGGATTTCCAGTATTAACCCACAGGACATCCTGATTATATCAAGGTAATAAAAGATCACGCACGGCTAGTCAGATTAAGTTTGACACAAGTATACTGTGTGTCGGAACATAGGGGTGTCGGAACATAGTGGTGTCGGAGCATAGGGCAGTCCCCCCTTCTCAGACACCCCCCTGTTCGCGCAAGCGCGGACATTGGCCGTTTACGCGGACACAAAAGTGTCCCCCTCACTTTTCAGAATGGATCGACGCCCCTGCTGCACTCCCCTGTTGATGTGGTCGGATTTCTAGCACTGTATGATGGGGAAAATACCCCGGAATTCCAACTGTATATGGAGAAACAGAATCTGGAAATCCAGACGAGTATGGAAAAAAATCCTGGAAATCCAGGCAGTTATGACTACTAAATACAATATGGCCTAGTTTATCTCGCCACATACCGGTTGATGAGGTTGGATTTCCAACAGTATGACTAAAAAACTTGGAATTCTGACTTGTATATGGTAAAAAAATGGGCCAGTATGAAATAGTTATTACTGAAATTAGATAAGGATGGTGGCACGAATGAGCTCATCAACACCGTGAATCAGGACTAGTTTGGATTTCCATTATCAAATATAAAATTTTGAACTTGGTAAATTAGCATATGATGAGAGTTATATTTGGAAATCCTACTCTGTATGGTGGCACAATGGAACTCATCAACACCATAAGTAGGAACTATAGTTTTGGATTTCCATCACTGTATGGTGAATGGTGATTTGGAAATACAACTTTGTATGACTTATACACCCATGAAATTGTACCCTGTATGAAGTAAACACACAAGCTCATCAAGAGGGGTGCAGATATAAACTGGAATATCCATTAGGGTACATGGCGAATAGTTTTTTTCTTTGCAAGTTGAGAAAATAAGGTAAACCAGACTAGGGTAGTGATCTTCAGTACTAAAATTCTTCTCGGAATCATAAATTGTTCATAAACCGTTCATTGACCGGCCACCAAATGACTACAACTTATTTTTAAACTTTGTTTTTCCTGGAGCCCAAATAATTATTTATAAATGCAAAGTGCTGTTAGTGCTGTTTTTTTCAAGTTATGTACTCGGAGGGTAACACATTAACATGCTGAATACTTATAATAGTAATCTACAAGAGTCATTGTCTTTAATTAACAGTGGCGGATCCAGCAAAATATATTGGGGGGAGAGGTCCAAGCTTCGCTCAAGATATACGGAGCGTAAATCGCAGAGAAGCTATGCGTAATCCAGATGATATGAATCGTCATGCGTTTTGGGGGGCATGCCCCCCCCCGCCCCCTGGATCCACCACTGTTAATTAACACAGTAACTAACACAGGACGGGGACTGTGACATTGACTTGTTTAATTACGTACTGTGAAATGCATAACACTTACACCCACCTCAAAATGGCCGAATATTGATAACAAGTAGGCATACATACTTCATTAATTTCAAAAGAAACAAATTTTCCTAAATATATAGGATTGATGACATTGTATTGACAATTATTAATTGCATAACTTTTATTGTCTTCAATTGCAACAAGCTGTAAACATGTAACGTATACTAAAACACTGATTGTAGTGTCAAAACTTTGGAGAATGTTTTCATCAAACAAATCAAATCAACTCTATAAACATTTTCATTGAGAAATATTGTCTTTAATTACTTTAATATTTTGGTTCAAATAACTGTCCTGAACAATATACATAATCGATAATATTCCATAAACTTTCTATACAATTCAATAAAGTTTTAGTAATTTTTAATAGAATTTTATTGAATTTAATAGAAATCTGTCAATAGTTTGTTGAAATTTTATAGACGTTTTGTGTAATATGATTCAAAATTAAACAAGCAGCCTATCGGCTGAGATAGGTCCGCTGTTAGCAATGCACATTTCAATTAAAGAACTGAAGACATCATTAGAAAATGAACAATATGTATAATATCAAAGCAATCGGACTTACAGTTTTTAACAAGAAGTCGAAAATATCACTTTTTACCAAAAATTACAAAAATATTCACCAAAATTAGAGAATTGAAGATATCATCACAAAATGAACAAATCTGAGAGAGGTCCACATGTAGTACCTATATATGTAATATCAAAGCAATTGGACTTGCGGTTTTTAACAAGAAGTCGAAAATATCACTTTTTACCAAAAATGACAAAAATATTCACCAAAATTAGAGAATTGAAGATATCAACATGAAATGAACACACCAAAGAGAGGTATACCCAAGGTACATATACACCAAGTATCAAAGCATTCAGGCTTGTAGTTTTCAAGAAGAAGTCAAAAAAGTAAAACATTGACACGGACGACGAACGACGACGGACGACGGACGCCGACGGACAATCACTCATATGATAAGCTCCGCTCGACAAAGTCGACAGCGGAGCTAAAAAATAAAATCACAGTAAAATCCATGCAATTCTATTAAAAATTCTATAAATTTCTATAGAAATTACACGATTGTTAGTTCTGCTGTCATATAGATGGTCTGTTGTCCGTATTTGCATTTTTTACTTCTTGGAAACTACCGACTGGGTTGCTTTGATATGTTATATGTAGACATTTTTGTGGGAATTGTTAAGAAGAGTAGGTTCAAGTTCAGGAATGGAAGAATAAACCGTGTATGGACTGCAATAGATGACTTTATTGAACGAACCATGAACAAGCCAAAAATGACCTGAAGAAGAGACGTTTCGTCTCCTAATTATATACCCAAAGTAAATATTGGCCTTCAAAAGTTAAGACGTTCCCAGAAACCGCCGAACCACGGTGCACGTTTCGGGATGAATGACCATTGTACCCGTTTATTGGCGAGATATGTTTGAACGTCGGGAGAATCGAACAATTTACGTAGTTCGTCGGCCGCAGATAAATATGTTGAAGCGTTGTCAGACACCATTGTACCGGGTAGTGAGCGTCTAGCCGCGAATCTCCGAAATGCATAGAGAAAGGTTTAATAATTCCAGATGTACAGCTCGCGTTACCAACCAAATATAAACCTTTGTTTCCTTACAGCTTGTGGGTGTCCGAATGTAGAGCGCGCCGGTAAAGTCGACACAAGTGACAGTGAATGGCGGTGTCAAGTTAACTCTGTATGATTGCAGAGGCGCAGCGACAGGAGCTCGGAAAGGGTATACATTAACTTTGCGACACGTTACACACTTTCGAAGTAAATTCGTAACTATTTGTCTAATTCTTGGGATCCAGAATTTCTGACGGAAATTTGTGACGGTAGATTGAACTCCACTGTGGAATACGTGAGAATGTGAGTTCATGATAATGAGTGATTAGATGGTAGTTGGGCTGGAAATTGGTTGCCATATCGAGAGGCACATTGTGAATTCTCCCCCCGCAACGTATCATACCTTAATCGTCCATGAACAGTTTTTGTTGCTTCACCAGTGGTCCTATTGTACACTTTTCCGTAGTGATTCAATAATATCTTGATATTTCTTAATTTGGACATCCTTGATCCACATAATTCCGCGTAATTAATTTCTTCGCTGGTGAGGTGCCCGTTTTGTTGAGGTTTGTCACGTTTACCAGTGCGGATACACGAAGCAATGTATTGAGTGAGCTGAATCGATCTGCGTCAATAACTTGTGAAATACCAAGTGGGGTCGATTAGGCGCTTATTAGCGATGTGCGAGCTGGTGCGATTTCTGCGGGAATGGCCGTACTAGAAATGTGATGAACCGGGCTGTCAAATAATTTGCAAATTGGCCAGTTACCTTGCTTTAACCATGGAACTAGTTCCATGTTTTAAGAAAGTCGGTCCATTCCACCAGATGCCGGCTTGCTGAAGTTTATCGGCAAAGATACCTCGCGTCACCAAGTCGGCGGGATTGTCGCGAGTAGGGCAGTATTTAATTACGCACGGAAATTGGTTAATTTCCTGCACACGGTTAGCCACAAAGATTGGTAGCCGTTTGTCACTTTTCAACCAGTGTATGACAATTTGGCTTTCAGACCACATAATGCATTGTTCAATGTTTATCTTTCCTTTGAAGGCGTCGAACACAAACCGTAATAGTCGCGATCCCGGGCGCGATCCAGTCCGATCGGCCATCAGTTCGAGTTGAGGCAACGTGATGTCTTGCTTCTGTGGCGAGACACGATATTTGGCAATAACGAGAGATGATTGCATGCCACGAGGTAAATAAACGGCTGCACCATAAACCTTATCACTAGCATCTACAAAGACGTGGAATTCGTAGGGATTGTCCGTATTTTCTATATCAAAGTATTGGCGTTTGATAGTTGCCTTGGTGACAGCGCTTAAGTCAGTTGATATACCTTTCCATTGCCGATGCATAACGTTGCTTAATGGGTCATCCCAGTCAATATTGTTTTTCCATAGTTTCTGTATAAACAATTTCGCTTTCACGACAACGGGCGTTAAATATCCAAGCGGATCGTATATAACTTATAGTGTCTTGTTCGACCTTTCGTTTCGTAATTACCGAGTCGTCTTGTATATGTGCACTGTCTTTCTTATTGTAGGTAATTTGATCGGTATTAACGAGCCAGCGAATTCTAAGAACATTAACATTGCTGTCGGGATTCAAAGTTCCGTCATTGGCCGAAACAGCGCGAAGTTTTTCTGAGTTGGATGACCACGATCGTAGGTTGAATCCACCCGATTTCATTAAGCTGTTTGCCTCATTGTAATAATCCAGCGCTTCGGCTTGGGTAGTGATTCCACTAACAACGTTGTCAACGTATATATTTTCTTCGAGATCGGATGAAGTAGGAATCGATGCGTTGGATTCTAAATGTGTTTTCACAACTGCATTTAAAATGAACGATGAACACACTGCACCAAATAGTACTACCTTGAAGCGACGGACTTTCAATGTGCTTTCTACATCGGATGCTTCGGACAACCAAAGGAATTTGGTGAATTCGCGATCTTCTTTGCTGAGTCGACTAGTAGCTTCGCGGTAAGTGGCTTTCGCAGTAAGTGGGTTTCGTATTGGGTGGGTCTCGCAGGGTGTAGGGCTTTGTCGCAGTGACTGGTCATTGCATCGATGTTGAGAATTAAAGTTTTATGTTTCTTTAACAACTTGTGCTATTCTGGGAATACCATCCTTAGAAGCTATTAATTTGCCCTTATGATTTGTGCAGTTGCTCTAGCTGGAGTTCCAAAATAAGACCCATGCTCTGATAATGCGCATAGTTTCAAAAACCAAAAACATTATCATTATGATCTTATTGCAAAGGATACTTGAATATTGTTTATTAAAATTAATAATCAATATTTTCAATATAGATAAATTATAGTACGTAACAAATATATAACTCAGTCTCAAGAATGAAATAAAGAAATGTATACATATATATTTACATTATCATTAATGCATTTCAATACAACTAATTAAATTGAATGCATTGCAATACAACTAAATAAATTGAAAGAAATTGCAATATAAAATATTCCGTCAGTAATACTTCTCAAAGGCGTATTTCACGGTCAGTGTTATTTCCGAAAATATTTGTTTATAATTTTATAAATTGGCTTGGCAATTCCCACCCCAATTAGATATAATGTGTACATGTTTTAATAAATAAAATTAAAGACACACTAACAATAATGAAATATTAATTATTGGCGATCCGCTCCGCTAGGATTTCCCTTGTAATCACTTTTGTCGTTTTGTATTTGTGTGTCTGTGATTTCCAGTTTTTTACACAATAATTCTTCTGTGATTTTTTTGGCTTGGCCGATTTCGCTCAAACTTGGAAGGTAGATCACACCTTCACCCTAGTTATTAGGACAAATCTGGGGAAAAAATTGGCCCACCATAGCAACAACCAAAAAATGATTTTTGAATAGGTTTGCACCAGATGTATCTCCTCCTACAAATTTAGTTGTTTCTACTCAGCTTGAGTGTGGGCACAAAGTTACTCTTTGAATTTTTGATATCTTTTTTCATTACCGAGAAATTTGACCGCAAAGTTGGGGTAACTGTTCACCAGGAATGGCTTTTAAACTCTTCTGTGATTTTTTTGGCTTGGCTGATTTTGTTCATATTTGACAGGTAGGTACTGGCCCACCACTGCCATTGCAACAGCCAAAACCTGTTTTTTGAATACTTTCACCCCAAATTTAATACCTCCTGCCAGTTTTGTAAGAGCAGTGTTCAAATGATCATGTTTTTTATTTTGGCTACTTTGCGCACTGGTAAAATATGTGTCAACGTAATCCCAACACAACTTTGAACTTTGAATGAACTGTAAATGCTGCCTTCATTCTAGAAAATACTAATAAAACAAGTTTGGACGAAATCCATCCATGAATGCCAGAAATGCTTGATATTTGATGACTTTTTAGTACAAAAAATGACCACCATTCGGTCATTTTGAATATGATCGTCAAACCAATATATCTGTTTATCTATGACATGATGTATAATGAATATTTAAAATTTGAATATAATCAGTCAAAACAAGTCGGAGATATGGGTCTAGAAGCCCATTCATTAAAACAAAATAGCCGCCAGACAGCCATGTTGAATCCGATCTGAAAAATAAATGATGTGCATCAGGAACCTGTAATGTCTAATATATGTACCAAGTTTGAACGAAATCCATCCATAAATGCTTGATATTTGATAATTTTTTAGCACAAAAATGGCCACCATTTGGCCATTTTGAATAGGATCGTCAAACCAATATATCTGTCTATCTATGACATGATGTATAATGAATATTTAAAATTTGAACATAATCAGTGAAACTAAGTCAGAGATATGGCACGAGAACCACATTCATTAAAACAAAATGGCCGCCAGTCGGCCATTTTGAATCTTATCTGAAAAACAAAATGATGTGCATCAATGTCCTATAATGTCTAATGTTTATACCAGGTTTGAACAAAATCCATCTGTAAACAGCCGAGAAATGCTTGATTTTGATGATTTTTAGCACACAAATGGCCGCCATTGGGTCATCTTGAATCAGATCGTGAAACAAACTGATGTGCATATGTATAATATCATGTATGATGTATGTGTGAAGTTTGATTGTGATTGGTCCAGGCATTTCTAAGATACAGGTCCGGACGCACGCACAGACGCACGCACGGACGGACACATGGAGGTCAAAACAAAAAGTCCCCGTTTTCGGACTGCTCCAAACGGGGACTAATAAAACGGTTGGAAATAATAAATGTAAGAGCAGAATACATCCTAGTGACTGAATAAACTAAGTGACTTCTAAAGACTGAATGGTTTTTGCGAACTTTGTATACAGGGCCCATTTAGTTATAAACTGACGTTAGTCATGTTCATGTCCTACTTTGAAAACAGCCAAAAACGTGGTTGCTTGTTTTTTGAGTGGAGTGGGTCGTCAACCAGTCTACCGGCTTGTATTGACTATGTCCTGGACTGTTTACTAGTACTTACTTACTTGTCAGTGTCTGACTGTTATATACAGCGCAGAAAACGTCAGAATAGTAAAAAAAATCAGGAAATGTCAGTTGCCCGTGCCTTGAGAGCCGATGAACCAAAACAATCTGTCACCCTTCACCGCCCACAGCATTGATATGATTTTATATTGCATAGAAAAGAACACTAAATACAGCTATGCCGGTCACCAATCGAATCATCGATCTTCATGATTTATGCAACTGGTATTTCCATCTATTTGCTTAATGGTCTGAACTTTAAAATTGTCAAGTTCGAAAGTGTTTTGTACGTACAGTGACGCGGACATTCAACAACGTGTTGAACAGGAAGTCCATCTTGAGCTAGTGGCATTGTCAAATTTTAGGGAGTACAGTAAATGTTTCAGTAAGGAATTGTTATACATATCAAAATCCTTTATTGCAACAGAACATGTTACATATTCACCAAAAACAACGTTGCCATGTTTCTAGGCATACAACGAATTGGAAACAAATAAAATCATCCAATCCAAACGACCTGCATCCTTGGGAATCTAGTCTTATCGCCTTTGACTTTCGAGTGAAAAAAGGTCGCTTACCACGGCGATAGATACCTAAATTATGTTTTGATTTTAGTAATCGAGGGTAAAAACCGTGTTTATGCTATGAGAAAGTGCAGATTTTGAACAATGGTGCAAATACATTTTCGCTTATCACGGCGAATGCAATTTAATTGAGTGAATTTCCCTAGTTGTATGCGGTGTCCAATATGGCGACCAAGGACAAAAACATTGTTATGCAAATTAGCTTTAGTTGAAAATTTGAGTTTTTTCCTCGATATCTATGTGAATTTGAACCAAAATGTTATCGACAAGACTCAGAATACGACTGTGACAGCCACTGAACCGCAATTGAAGGCAAATGAACACATCAAGCAAACAAAACTTTTTCGAGTCGTGGCGTAAAATGGAGGCACATACCGTTTTGACTCTTGAGGGCAATGGAAATCAGTTGATTTGAGGGTGTCACAATAAGCAAGGGAGTAAATCGTTTTTATGCTATGAAAAAACGCAGACCTTGAACGTACTTTTTTGACTTTAGTACAACATCATTTTTGTTTGATTACCTAACGTTTTTAGGTTCATTTGCTGCAAGTAACAGAGTACATACCTAAGTAGCCGTCCCCCAGAAAATAATGAAGCAAAGTCATTTTTAATGTCGAAATCGCGAAACTCACCCATTTTACGCAAACTGGGAAGTTCGAATTAATAAACGAAGTACAGGACGACGAAGATAAAATATCCAAGAATTAACACATACCAAAAATTATATCTCAAAAGTGAATATTCGTGGTGTATTTTAAGTCTAACCGGACCATAAGTCGAAATTTGTTAGTACTCTAATTATCCAAATATATTTTAGTATGTAAATATTCAGAAACGCTTTTTCGATGTCACTTGTCAGTGCGATATCATTAACTTGAAATCTGAGAAGTATTGCAGACAGATCGTTGAGTAGAGGTGGTCCAGTTTGCAAACAGTCATTAAGACTGGGTGCATCGATTGACTGTCGACAGCTGCATTCTGTCGATTCTAATGGGCGTTGTCTTTGAATCTTTCTTGACTGAACGATGGAGTAAGTAATGTCCGTAGGAATTGTCATCGTCAATCACTTCTTCTATAAAGTCACGCATTTTCTGATCTTTGATTAATTTATTATAAGTTTGTAGCAGAGCAGGTAGTAGACGTTTCTTTTTCTGCAATACGATAGTTGGTCGGAAGTGAAGGGTGTTCTGGTTTCCAGGGGAGACGAGCTGTATAGCGTCTGTCTTCTTTTATGAGATGAGTGTCACAATAACGTTCCTTGGAAATGAGTTGGGGCGTGTCTTTAACACCAATGCCTTCTGAGTCCCAGAAATGTTGCAGAATGTTTTTGTCTTCAATGGAGTTCGTAGCTATGTGTAGAATTGTGGCGTCAAAATCATGATTGTTTGTTTGTCGGTAATCTGTCTGTCGAGAAAGTAAATACCCGAGTTTTGACTAGACAGCAGTGTGGCCAGCTCCGCGTAATACCGGTCTCCAACGATATCCCAATAATAGTTTGCGCCGATTAAGATGGCAATTTCAAATGAGTCAACCAATGATGCTGAGTGGGCGAACTTGATATTGCGAAGATAGGGTAAATCGTGTAAGGATCGATACACAAGGTTTTTTGTAGGTGTAGAAATCTTTGGTATCGTCAGAGCGGACATGTTCATTTTTCGACCATTATAATCGTGTGTAACGCGAAAGTAGACACATCAAACCATCGAGTACATGAATTGGTGTCTCCAAATGTACTTAAGTTGGTTGCTTCTTGTTTGTTTGGTTTCTAGTTCAACTTTTGGGTAAAACGTTGAGTCACAAAGCAGCGTGTGGCGCCTTCATAAAAGAGAATTACTGCTGTAGCCATTTCTGATTCGGATGACACTTCAGCAACGGCAGTCTTCAGTAGTACTGGTCCTTTAAACGGATTAGCGGTTGCTGTAAAATTAACGTGAGTCTTAGAAGTTGGTTTCGAAGCAACGCGAGAAGTAGGTGGAGTTTCAGACATAGATGTTGTAATCCCTTTACAGAGTGAGATTTGATGTCTCTTCTTACAAATACGACAGCTGAATTTCGTTTTGCAATCACTTGCCCTATGTTTACCTAGGCAATTGAAGCAGAGTTTGCGTACGTTGATTGGTAGTTTTTCCATTATAATAGGAACCAATAAATCGCCATACGCGTCTTCTATTTTTCCAAGAGATTTCAGTCCACGCACACAACTTTCGAGTGTATCGTGAAAGTTGTGCAGACTTTCTATGATTGAAGATGGCTTAGGAAGATCTCACGGCGATCGCATATATGCAGCAACTATTTTATGCTTTTGACCATATCGTTGTTCAGTAAATCAATAGCATGTGCGTAATTGTCGTTTGTCAACATTAAACCGTCGATTATGCTAGCAGCTTCTCCGGTTAGTTGGGCACGTAAATATTGGAATTTCTGGATAGTATCAAGGTTTGTATTGTCATGAATTGCTGAGTTATAAGCGTCTCTAAAACTCACCCATTGGAGAATATCGCCGCTGAACATCGGTAGAGAGAGCTTAGGTAGATTGATAGCACTTGAAGATCCTGACGGTGTAGTTTGTGCAGAGGTGACGTTTCCGGTACTGGGACTTCTGGGGTTTGCGTCGACTATCTGCTTGTCTAGATTAACTAGGAGTTCGTATTTGGCGTGTAACAACTCAAGGGTAGCGGTGATTTCATCTAAAAGATCGTCGTTACAATCTTGAGGAAGCGTATTGATGATATCTTCGGCTTTTCTGAGGAGTTTTGTCATTTGACCGCGGTGTGCTGCTCGGGTACCTTTGAGCTTCGGTAGACGTGTCGCTTGAGCAGATTCTGCCATCCTGTATCCTGGTCTCGGCACCAAAACAATGTGGGAATTGTTAAGAAGAGTAGGTTCAAGTTCAGGAATGGAAGAATAAACCGTGTATGGACTGCAATAGATGACTTTATTGAACGAACTATGAAGGAAGAACGAACAAAACGAACCAAAAATTAACTAAAGAAGAGTTGTTTCGTCTCTTATTTATATACTCAAAGTAAATATTGGCCTTGTTCATGAATTGTTACAATAAATATGGCCTTGGACATGATTGGTGAAAAGATAAACGAGCTGATTGGTTGAAATTAAAACAATTTCTTCGGCTGGCTAAATCTTAGAATCGTAAATTGTAATCAAGCTCAATTTTCCGACAATTTGGGGTGAACCTCTATCTGATTTGTTAATTTGTTGATAAAAATTATATTTTCTGCTTCATTTCAGAAAACTACTAGCTCAGATGCTTTGATAGGTGGTGTAAAGGTACTTTGAGTAAACCTCTGTCAAATTTGTTGATTTCGTGACAATATGTTCAATTGTTGGCAAATATTTTTGGTAAAGATTTAGGTATTCGACTTGTTCTTGAAAACTATCAGATATATCCATTTATTTATGTTATTAAGTTCTTTTTGTCATTTTTGGTAAAATATAATATTTAGCTCAATTGTCATCAAAGATGATACAGTGGAGCTGTTCACATTGTCTGTCGTTTGTCAATCATTTTATTTTTAACTACTTCATGAAAACTACTAGCTCAATTGCTTTGATACTTGGAATCTTGGGTGAAACTTTGTCCGACTCATTCACTTTGTGATGTAACCTTTACCATTTTTGATAGAAAATGCTATTTTCGACTTCTTCTTGAAAACTACTAGCTCAATTGCTTTGATACTTGGTATGTTAACTCTGTCAGATTTGATAATTTCACAATTTTCTGATTTTTGTTTATTAATTTTAAGTTAAAATATACCATTTCTAACTTCGTCTTGATAACTGCCAACTTACTTTGATATGTTATATGTAGGTGCTTCTGGTGGAACAATCATTGATACATTGTTAATATAACGTCAGAAAACGCATATCTTTTAGTATAGCTTTTATTTTGTTTACAGAACTTCGTTACGTACTAGTTAATTGTGACAGATCATTACAGTTGCAATATTTCATTAATTTGGCTATATTTCTAATTGTGTATGTTTAAATCGTTGATGATCCAAGACGAAAGAACTCCGGCTATTTAATTAGATTACTCTTAAACCAGTTATCGGATTGCTTTTCGCTTAGTTTGGAGGTATACCTGAGGATGAATCAATCTTATTTTAGATTCATAACCGAGATGAAGACACATTTGCATAAATATATAAACACAGCTTTGTAAGGAATTGTAAACACATGCGAGTACGACAAAATAAGAACACACTTTCAAGAAAATTGTACGTTATTGGAAGATGGTTATAAATAACTCACTTTTAGTAATGATGGAAAATGACATGAACAAACCTGCTGCGTATATATTTCTAATGAATATAGTCGACATTGTGTATATACTTGATAAATATATGCGCCCAAATGTAATAACTACATGTATTTAGTCTCAATTTCTAATTCATTTTATTCTGAATGATTCTAGTTTCTTTTGTATTTGTTTTAATATAACCTTTTTTATGAAAATATCGTCGACAATATTGCCTTTCTTGCTAAATTGTATCACAAATCCTGTTTGTGTCAATTATCAAATCTAGTTTGAGTTTTAGTTTCGCCTACGTACTATGCATGTATTGCATGCAATTGAAACACAAATGTGCGATGACTGACTGTCAGTTTAACCCCGTGATGTATATTCTGCACAAGAAGTTTAAGATGCCCTCGTCTCTAGTTAAATAACAGTATTCCACCAGTCTTTCATTGCTGGTTTCTAATCCAGCCGGCAACGCACGAAATCCACCCGCCAATTTATCTGGACATTTCTGTTGAAAGACAAATTAAAAAAAAACAAAAAAACACGTTGATTCACAATTTTTCCCAATAAAGGAATCTACCACTTATTCAGAAGGACTTTAATTGTACTGTTATTGTACTATCGATGGGAAACGGATTACATCCAAACTTCGACCTACGATCTTTTTGTTGCAAACGTGCTAACAATTTATGTATCCGATCAGTGTTAATTTGTGCTTGTGAACGTTGCACTAAATACTTCGTAAAGTCTCACGATACTCAGGCGAATACATTGCCAAACAAGCAACTCCACCACTTTAATTAAAGCGCGGTTGTCGTCGCGCAGCGCGTGTTCGAATTTCATGTAAATAAACAATGTATTTTACACGCGTTGTATACGTCGCTATCAGTCCCATATCGAACAGGACGCGGCACGACGACTGCCGCCCTTTAAAACACTTACTAGCCCGTGAATGACACTAAAATGAAAGCGGGTACTTCAATTGGAACGTTATATAAGGGTGTGCCGGCAGAAGATGTTCAAAATAACACTTAAATACATCACAAACGCGTATCAAATTCAAGAAACTAATAAACTAAAAAAATGTTTATTGAACCTTTTATGGCTGGGACACAATGATTCAGTAGATACTTACGATCTGTTCACAATCAATAGATGCCCAACCATGATCGTACACTCGGTCCGTACATATCAGACAATCAGACACGTCAGCTACAATTTCACCCTGAAACAACAACAATCACAACGCTCAGACAGACCTAGATAGTCATGCATCGGCAATTATGCATCAGATTTATGCAAGCATTCAGGAATTCATCGTTAGGCACCAGGGTAACTTTTACCTTAAGAGTGATGACCGGGGCGAAACAGGTTAACAGAATGAATGTAAGCCATCTATTACTGTTCTATTTCGATCTACATCATCTTTCAAGAAAGGTTTTATGTTAACCTAAGCTAATCGTTTTCTTATATAATAATGAAATGACATTTTATGCCAGTCATTGACAGTTACGAAATGACTGCCAAAAATACAATATTAGACGAATTTTCTGTCAGTATCTTTGAAGGTGACATTCACTGTCATAATGTAACGTTACATCATCAGGTTTGCTGCCTTTGTACATTTTCTATAGGAATTACATTGAAGTGGGGGGGGGGGCTTCCATACATATGGTACTCAGCATCTATTTCTTTATTATTGCAGCGTTGTAACAGTTATATTACATCGTATCTCAACAAATATGACCGGGATAGCGTGAATCTCAAAACATCGGCAATGCTGTCGACTGTGCGGACGACTGTGTCAGGTAGTTAGGATCAAATTCTGCTTAGTCTGCTTAGTCTTATACACTACGACTCAACTGAAATATTACGACACAAACATGGATAGATTCACAATAATTGAGTAAATAAGCCAATGGCGAAGTATGTGCAGTTCGGTTGACATTAAAAAGCGTACAAATAAAACAACACTTACTAACGTTAAAGAATCGTAGCTCTCGAGGGGCACGCCCAACAGCCGGAATGACGCAGTGTCTGCGATGAAATTGGACGTGGATAGATAACTTTTGAACTCGTGCAGCGGCTTCTCTGTCTTCACAATTTTGAACCCTCCAGTGATATCGAGTGGACAGGGCGCATCGCGTTGACAGAAACCGGCTTCAATATGTGCTTCCCCATGTGAAGCTTCAGAGCATGAAAAGCATGTACCGCATATGGCGTTGAAGGGAGCTGTAAGATCAGACTCACCACAGTAATTGTCATCAGAGTGGCAGTGGTTCCCGGCACTGCAGGCAACTAAAACAAGACACAGCATCAAGAGCATCGCCATTTTAAAATAAAATCGGGATCTGCTGTGGTGTAAATAGTGTGGGAAAGATTCACTGCTAATTATGAAGAAACTACCACGTACGTACTGTGTACTGTTCAGGTACTACAAAAGAACTGACGAATGTCACAAACTAGGAACACTCACATTCCCGACAAAAAGTGAAATGAGTCAGGACAGGCTTTAAACTAATGTATTCATTCATGCATATAATACACTGACCTCTTGATCTCTTTGTGAGTGAATATTGGCGATCCGTCAGGTTAGCCCTTATAATCACTTTTGTATGTATGTATGTATGTATGTGTGTGTTTGTTTGTGTCTGTGTGTCGTCTCCATGTATTAACTCGATTTTTTGGCTGGACCGGTTTCCTTCAAACTCGGTAGACTGGTCACACCTCCATTCTAGTTAGGCAATAAACACGTTACCAAAAAACTAATCTGTTGAACACCTTCAATTTGGGTGTGGTTGCAAAAGTGTGTGTGGTAATTTTCGTAACTCGATGTTCGTAACTCGATGTTCGTAACTCGATGTTCGTAACTCGATGTCCGTACCTCGAACAATTCAGCATCTCCAGAGTGCAAGGGGTAAGGTGATAAATTCATAAATGCAGTGTCAACGACTCAGTTCGTGGATAATTATTATAATATAAAACCTGTACGAAATATAAAATTTACTAACCGTGTTATGGTAAAAAAAGAAAATAGTCTCATATTCCGCAATGCAAACGGTATATTGCTGAAATAAAATGTTTGTCATCTTATTGAAATCTAGGTCAAATGGTCAACTTGCTTGAATATAATACTACCAAAAAAGAGGCGTTAGTAATAAAGTCAAATGACTTCTGTAGACTGGATGCTTTTTGCAAACTTCGTATATGGCTCCGGTTTTAATTCCTCAGCTCCTGAGAGCGAGGTTATTTGTAGATATATTGGCGATCACCACTGTGGCTGTGGAAGTACTATGAGAGATTGCATGATGGG